TTAATAGTAAAAATAATAAATACGATAAAATTTCCTACATACCTTCAAAAAAAATGTGTGTAACAATTGCATCTTAATTATTTAACACTAAACAAAATATTAATAATAAACCTTCGTTTTCATTAAAAATAAACAAATTATTATCGGTAACCCATAGGCAACCAGAAAATATATAAAATATTTAAACAATTTAAACTAACAACCATCGCTAGTGATGTGTACCACTATCGAGGTTCCGCAAAAAATCGATAATATATAAAAAAACGGATAAACGATATAAAACGAAAAATGTAACGAAAATATTTTCGTTACAAAGTGTTGTTCACAACTTTCTCGGTAATCATAAATCACCGGATTACAAGCAAGTAATCGACAATTTGTTGCAAAATTACCACAAGATTGGAGCTCGAATGTCTCTCAAGATACATTTTCTACATTCACATCTTGATTTTTTTCCACAAAACTTGGGCAACACGAGCGACGAGCAAGGAGAGCGGCTACACGAAGATATAGCGAAAATCGAAAGGCGATACCAAGGATTTTGGGACGAAGGTATGATGAGCCCTAGGATTAGGGTCTAGGATTAGAGCCCTAGGATTGAGCCCTAGGATTGAGCCCTAGAATTGAGCACTAGGATTAGGGTCCACTGTTGGACCCTAATCCGTGAAACAGATCCCAAGCAGTATAAAAGATTCAGTTCTGTATAAAAGACTTCTATTCATTCCTGATTTATATTGTTTAATTCAATAAATGACCGTTAACGGTAAAAAAATAGTAAAATAATTAATTTATTGAATATTTAGAAAACTAGAACCAATCTTAAAAAATGGACTGCTGATTTGGATTCAGCTCCAAAAATTATCTTAGAAATTGCTTTTAGTTGCCCATGTCCAAAACCGTGTATACTTGTGTAATTTTAAATATTTTCTTGTAAGTGATAATACTATTTTCCTATTCAAATAAGAGAATCTCATTTCTATATTTTACGTTATGGTGGCTTCAAGTTTAATCTATCTTAAGTTTTACAAAACTAAAATTGACACTGAATAAAAAGCGGAAGAAAGAGTCCTAAAAGTCCATTAATAATGTAAAAGTATTCATCTATCTTTGACATAATCATTATTTGTTCTAGTCAGTTTCTGGCTGATCATTTACGTCAGAAGTTTCTTATTGCAGAAGAGCATTTCCTTTATTTTTATCTACATCTTTATTTAAATGCCATTTATTTTTTTAATTTACAATGTTATATTTATGTACAATTAAATGAATATAGAGTGTACCAAATTCCAGACTCATCACTGGGATCTCTAAAACCATAGAGATAACATGGTCAAACTATGACAAACTTTGAAGTTAAGAAGTTAAGAAATATCTACAGGGAGGAAAAAAGTTCCTATAAACATGAGTATGGAAATTCATAGATTTTTGCATTTTTGCCTACAGCAATTTTAAATAAAAAATGCATTTTTTTTAAATTGCTATATGTTTGACTACTAGTAATAATAACTAATAGTAATAATATTTAATAATAAATTATGTAAAATCTATAATTTACTATTTTTATTTTAATTTTATTAATTGTGATTAATAAAATTGCGTTTCTCATCAAGGAGGCAGATTTCGCCAACATATCAAGAGATAACATTTAGTTGGCATTAAAGGGACTACACAATTCTGATATCAAAAGAAAAAAGTCAGTGACGCACATGTTTTTTTTTGAAAATTATTCCAGTGATAACCCATATTCACGCCCCTAATGAATTAATCAGCACTATATGTAGCACGTATAGTAACTTTTACCCTCAAAATTGAATTCGAATCACCAAAAGTAGTTGGAAGAAAATTATAATAAATATTGAGATTTTAACACCCTCTAAAAATAAGTCTTATTTTTAGGCGAGGAATCTCCCCACCAGTAACTTATTGAAAATATGAAAAATAAGTCTAGTAGAGTTTTTTACGTAGAATTCAGTGGCGTAACTATTTTTTTAGAGAGTAATATAATATTTTATGTTTTTGAGCCATTATTTCACGATAAAATATATATAAAATTGTGAAAGGTATCACCTATAATTTGAAGTTGAACTTTAACCTTCAATAACTCTCAAACGAGTCGATTAAATAAAAATTCATATCGGACCTTTTTTGAAGACCGTTCAATTTCCTACAAATTACGGAAATTTTATGACGAATGAAATGCCGTTTTGCAAATTGAAAATATCCGAAAATTTTAGGGCTAGTTTTTTTAATGGCCAAATACATTTTTATTTAGGCTGTAGCTATTAATATGGTAATTGCGATTTCAGTATAACCTGTTACATTAAATTTACTCATTTTGGGGACAAAATTCCGAAAATAATTCGCTCTAAAATTACGGAACTAATTAATAAACGCCTACATGCGACGTAAATGTGGTCACTCAAAAAACGATTTTCCTACTATCTGGATTACCGGATTTAATGTTTGAAATTGTCTGATTCATTTAATTTATTACAGATATTGTTATTTGAAATTTTTCAATACATAAGTTAAAATACAAAAACTAAATTGTAATTATGGTATTTTTTATGTACAGGGTGGCCCATCGAAAACGTTCCGCAAGGCATAACGGCCAGGGTAATTTTTTTTTTCAGAAAATTCAAAAACACGTCAATTTTGTTTGTGGTGGGGACAACTTTTGTCCCAAAAATGATTGCAAAATCTTCAACCCTCTAAGGGGGGTGTCATCCCCCAACTTTTTTCAAATGGGAAGGGGAGTCAAGTGGTACCGCAATGAAAAGGGCTTTCTATTCTCTATACTTTCTGGCTTCGTTTTTGAAAATCGGTCGAGTTATTGAGAAAATATGAAGGATTGAAATTTGAAAAGTTTATTAAAGCTATTATTATTATTTATTAGCTTATTTATTAAATTATTTTATTTAACTCATTAATTTTCATTGAAAAAGAATTTTTGTAATTCGCCACTGTATTAGTTAAAAACTAAGAAACTCATATCAAATTTAAGTTTTGCGATTTTGACTTATACTTTTTACAAAATCTGAACACATTTTAAAAGAAAAAAAGTTTTTGATAATATTTGTGTAGATTGACTACAAGTTGTATTACATAAATTTCTACGACCGGTCTGCAGCATCGCCTTGTGGTGCAAACGTGGGCCTGTTAATCTGTGACGTGACGCACAACAGCCAAGAAAAACAGAAGCGTGGCTAAGAATTTAGTAATTAAAAAAAAGACTTTTAGATACAGTAGTAGGTATTAAAAAGTTTTGTGTTTAAATGGGGTTTGCCTTTAACAGTTAAAAAATTATATCGTAAAGTGTAACTTTCCGTAAGAATTCTTTATCTGTCATTGATCATGATCTGTCATCATGTTAACCTTATGTTTTGTATGTTATTTTGTTTTTTTCGAGGTTTTTTGGCTTGCTTGTTTTACGGATAGGTGCGATCGCATAATTATTATTGATAATGTTTTATTTAATGTTAACACTACTACTTTTTCAGTGAATCTTTAAATCTGTTATTTTTTGTTAAGTTCGTTATTTAAACATATGTATGTAATACACTCATATTAACACTAATCATATTTTTACGTTTTTATTCATCATTTTCAATGCCTCCCCGGTTGCAACTTTGTAAAGGACTGTGAATTTTTTCTTGTTATTTCTAGATGTTTACGCATTTTTTCACTTGGCACAAGGTTGAAAGATCAGATGCGGTAATTGCTAGATAGCTGTTCTGTGACTTATGCGTTAAAGTTCTTCTCTGTTAAATTTTTTAACAATTATTATGGTATACTCAATTGCAGAAAAAGTGGAAATAATGGAACTTTATTTTAAAAATAATGAATGTGGCAATCGGGTTGCGCAGATATTCAATGAACGCCATCCTGACAACCACCTTTATGGTAAAATTGTTCGCGAGTTAGTAGCAAAATTTCGCGAAACTGGTTCCGTTATGAATAAAAAGAGGCAGAGGGAAAATCCTGTAGTAAATGAAGCTATGGAGGTATTCGTATTGGGTCAAGTTGCCATGGATAGTACGCTGAGTACAAGAAAATTAGCCAATGAGACCGGCGTGAATCGTACAAGTGTCCAAAGGATATTAAAAAAGCAAGTTCCACCCGTACAAAATTCAGTTGGTACAAGAACTCAACGAAGACGATTTTGATCGTCGCTTGCATTTTTGTGAAACTATGAGTGAACGAGTGGCGAATGATAATAATTTCCTATTTAATGTGTGTTTTTTGGATGAGTGTACTTTCTTTTTAAACGGTGTAGTTAATCGGCACAACTATCGGTACTGGGCTGAAGACAACCCCAAGGTGCACAGGCAAAACCCTCAGAAATTGAACGTGTGGGCTGGTATTTTTGAAAATTCTATTGTGGCTCAGTTTAACGATATTGGGAAGAACTTCAACGCACAAGTCAAGGTTGAAGATTTCGCAATCATTTTTGGGATAAAAGTTGTCCCCCTCACAAACAAAATTGACGTGTTTTTGGATTTTTTGAAAAAAATAATACCCTAGCCGTTATGCCTTGCGGAACGTTTTCGATGGGCCACCCTGTATAAGATCTGTAAGTACACTCACTGGCACGAAAAACGGGCACCTTAAAATTTTCATGTATTTTTAAGTTTTATACAGGGTATTTCAAAAAACATGTGCCATCTCTCGTGGGGAGATTCCTCACGTAAAAATAAGATTTATTTTTTATATCAACATAGGTCCGATTCTGCTTTGTTTTTTAGCTATAGGGTGTCATAGTCTTAGCCAAGTGAGACTATGATGAGTTATAACTTGTTATAACTCAAGGAAGGGGTACGCACAACAGATGGACACAAGATAGACGCTGATTAACCCCTCTTCTAAACTTTCTACGTTCTACATGTTACTGCTTCCTACGACTTTCAACTTCAATGTTACATCATCTTTTCACTATACCTTTCTAGTATTATTTTTAATGTTTAAATTTCGTTTTTATTTAAAATTCATTATTGTTTCAGTTGCTGACCAATCCAGAGTGGTCTGTTACTGGGGAACATGGGCCATCTACCGTCCAGGAATAGGAAGTTACAGTTTAAACGACATTCCAGTGCATTTATGTACGCACGTCATATACTCATTTATTGGAGTTAATAATAACTCATGGGACGTACTTCTCATAGATCCTGAGGTAAGTTTTTTTTTTTATTTTGCTGACTCAGCTATGGGAAAATTAAAATAACATTGGTTGCACATTGCACATCATAAAGCTGTGCACACACTGGTGCGATCACGGCCGGCGATCACGATCTCTACGCGGCCGCGGCCAACAGTTGCTGAAGAATACATATGAGCCGTTTCACATTGGCGCGATCGAGTTTTGGAGACGAAACGGCCTGACGGCCTTCTATTCTGCGGTGGCGATCAAATTCAACTTGTCGAGTTTGATCGCGTGATCGCAACCCAACTGATAGGAATTTTCCTTTATTTTGTTTGTTTTTTCTTGTCGCAATTTAGAAATGGAGTTAACAGAGCAGCTAATTAAGGCTGTAAAAATACACAAAGTTCTATATGATTTATCCGATCGAAGTTACAAAAATAATAGAATTAAAAATAAAAAGTTTGAGACAAAATTGGAATTACAATTGGATTGGATTGTACATATGTATACATTTTTATTGTTTAAGTTTAAATATTGTACGTAAATATTTAAAAATGTTATACATAATTCACATTTTTAATTTGTACTTATGTATACCTACAAGATGGCGCACTACATATAGGTACGGCAGTGAACGTGAACGCGTTGGTGTGTGCTAGAATGATCGCTTATGTTATCGCTGCAGCACAGTTTAGTTCTGTCTAAAATTTATTTAAAAGAAATTTATATAAAACAACAAAAAATACTTTTGCCATTTTTTTATGTTTTTTTGTCAAAAACCGCCAAGGTTTATGTTCCTATCAAGTGTATTGAAACATTTATCAATATCTGTAAATTTTGTGGACGATTTTTTTTTAATTTATTATTGTAAAAGTTTATTTCAAAAGTTTATTTTCAAGTAAACTAATTATTGTAGCAGAAAAATTAGATTGATATTTGCTTTGATACAAAATTGTTTAATTTCATATACTTACCATACAGTTTATAATAAATAGTTAGGTTTTTTGTTTAAAATATTTGTTTTATTTTTTTTACCCCTTTTTTCACCATTTATAATCTATAATTTCCATTTACAGGGTGTGCCAAAAACTTTATCAGAAAAGGGAAATTTTATTTGAGTTATTGAAACAAAGTTTATCGGGAATTTCTTCAGACAAGGAAAAAAATAATTTTTATATGTCAAAATATTTTTTTTTGTTATTGAGTATGCTGAAAAATGCTGCATGATTTTTTTTCAAACCCTCAAAATTATAAAAATGTCCCATTTTGTGACCAACTGTATTTTGGCACATCCTGTATATAGGATAAAAAGCAAGCATTTTATTACAGAAATACCGCATATGATCGAAAAAAAGGCATCAAGTTGGCTTGGGAAATGACGATCGATCAAATTCACCATTTAATTAATTTTAATAATAAAATTACAGCGATCTTCGTTTCCAAACTGACTCATTGACGCCGGTTTTTTTTTCGATTGAATGAATTTTTTATAGATATACGAGGTAATTCAGGTACGTATAATTTTACCTTATAGGTGCAGTAATAGGTATACAGTATGTCCCCGGATTGTTTTTGACAGAGGAAATTTTTTTTCTTGACATTTTGAGAAAAATGCATTCTTCATTAAAAATTTTGCTTGTGAAATAGTTAATCCCGTTTATGCTTTTCCAAATTTCCATACCATTTTAGATGGCTTGGGAAATGACGATTGATCAAATTCATCATTTAATTAATTTTAAATATAAAATTACATCGATCTTCGTTTTCAAACTGACTCATCGACACCGTTTTTTTTTTCGATTGATTGGAATTTCCATAGATATGCAAGGTAATTCAGGTACGTATAATTTTACCCTACAGGTGCACTAATAGGTATACAGTATGTCCCCGGACTGTTTTTGCCAGAGGAATTTTTTTTCTTGACGATTTGAGAAAAATGCATCCTTCATTAAAATTTTTGCTTGAAATGGTTAGTCGCGTTTATACTTTTCCAAATTTCCATGCCATTTTAGAGAAAATTAAAAAAATGTATGAAAAATATCTCTTGGTAAAAATCGCTACAAGTAACCGTTCTCAAGATTTTTAGAATGGAAATATTCAATACATGTTATTATTGACTAAAAATAAACATGTTGAGTAGATAGTTATTTGTTGGGAACTTTTTATTTTGTTATATTAATATTAAATTTTTCTTCGAAAAAATGATGATAAAACAGTTTCTATTGAACTTTTGGCACACAAACATTTCAAATTTATGATTTCAGTCTAATAAAAGGTCTAATAACTACCGTATGATCGAATAAAAACGGCGTCCAGTTGGCTTGGAAACGACGATCGATGACATTTCCCATATAAATTTACATATGAAATGACAGCGATCTTCATTTCATAGTCATTGCTGACGCCGTTTTTATTCGATCTTACGGTATTTAGTCAACATATTTAATTTATGTCAATGATGACAGGTATTGATAATTTCGATTCGAAATATCTCGGGAACCATTATTCGGTAGCGGTTTTTAGCAAGAGACCCTTTTTACGTAAAAAATGTCGTAAATGTATATTTTTTTACTCAGTAGTTTTATACAGGTACAGACGAAAAGTTACTACTCTTCAAACCAGTTAAAAAATATGCAGGTGGCGCCCTCTACTAGTAGGAGTCATATTGACATCAAAATCAAATTTCTCATGTCAATAAACTCCCAGACACCAATTTTCATCAAAATATTAACGTTACTTCAGAAATTATTTGGAAAAAATCGAAATAAAAATGAAACATCTACACCCTGTATCTCCGAAACTAAGCATTTTAGGACATACATTTATACGAACTTTTTTACTTATTTTTATCTGCAGAATATGTTGCCAAAGTTTCCGGAATACAGTTCGGACCACTTTGTATAATAAGTGCTTATTTCGTATTACCAAAAATAAAATTACATTTTTATAACGTCTACAGTTCAAAGGTAAGTACATTTTTGGTTATACATACACTTATCTTTCTTTATAGATAACAAAAAATTACACTATAAGCTGAAATTAATCATTATCTGCACGATAAGTAGACAATCCGTCAGTTCATTGATAAAAATGAGAGAAAAACATAAATTTGTATAAATGTAATTTAATATTTGATTAGTGTCAGTCTGTGTTTGATGAAAATTAGTGTAAAATGGGTGATGTTAATAGTGAATTTTCGGCTGGTCCTTTGGACTACTATCGCAAGCAAGCGTCATTTGATTGGAGGAAAATGAAAGAATTTATTTACTCAAAGGAAGAACTCAACTTTTTGGTAGGGTTATTTTTCATAGTTATACATTTAGTTTTTTCAACTATAGAATGTATAAAGAAAGTCCTCTATCATTTCAATTGTGGCCTATTATTTTAATTCAAAGGAGATTATATTGTCATTTCATAATTCAATTTTTGGATGTCGTCCTTGAATATCGTCGGTGGAAATCGTTTCTTCTTTCATTGAATAGACTCTACCCAAGTAGCAAAAAGAAATTCTAAAAGGAATGAATTATTTTATAACAGTCGAATAGCGTTGTCTTAAGGACTGCTTGATTTTATTAAGCGTTTGGTTTCGACCAATATGTTTTTTAATAAAAGTTGTCATATTAAACTATTTTCTAGTGGTTTTTACAACGTATCCTATAAGGCATTAAACGATAATTTCTTTTAGTATGATATAACACTTAATAAGACAATGCTATATGATAACAAACATATTATTTTATTAGACTCTTATACCCACCATGAAAGAGTTCTATAATATGCATATAACTAGTAGTCACAAGATCATATAATAGTTACTTAAACTTGTCTTATTAAAGTTGTATTACGTTGTATGATAGAATGTTTTATTGCGTTAAACTACGGTACTGTATACAACACCAGTTATATAGCCTTATATATTATTATAAAATTGTGAGTAACAAAATAAATTCGCTGTAATATCTGCATTATAAAACTGGTAATGTATAATATAACCTCATTTTAAATTAAATTGTATACCTAGTTATTTATTTTGTTATTGTTGTTGTTGCAAAAGTAATATCTACGACGAGTATAATCAATCACAGCTATTATGAATTCTGGCCAGAGTTGGAAAAAAGTTAACAAACGCAGTTGTAGTTATAAAGAACATGTAAGAAAAAACTCCTCGAAATTACGGCAAATAATCCCGAGAATTCCGTGGATTCTCAAAAGCCAAAATCTCTCGGGTTGTCTGGCTTCTTCAAAGCATTGTTGCCAGGTTCAAGTAAAAGTTTTACTGTAGTAATGTTTGTATTGTTTTATTGTTGTTTTTCCAAGTCCTTAGGTTGCCGCTCACTCGTCGGGCTCACATGAAATGCATTGCGTTCATGAATTCAAAAAAATCTGATCATGTTGGTTAGTTTAAATACTAATCAAATGAGATTTGGCAACATCTATTTGTCACAAATCTCAATATGTCCAAAATAGTTCTATAGTGCCTCGAAATTCTGCGTAATGATAGATATTTATCCTATAGCGTTTTATTTTACAACAAAGACTTATTTAAGGGGTTCATTTATAATAAAACGGTTGCATTATAATTCGCCATGTTTCAGGCAGAATTTTTGTATGGCCTATGGCCGCCATTATATGAAGCAAAATTAAAAACATCAAAATAAATTGTAAAATGTTATTTTTGAGAACTATTTTGTGAAAAGATTCCCATGACATACAGTAATAAAGTGTTTAATTAAATTAAAAACAAGAATTTATGAAAATTTTATTGCATTTTATTGTTTAAATTTATATGTAAACCTTAATCGAAATTAAAGCGCTTTAATTTTTTGCCAAATACATACCTATAATCTACCAGTAAAATTTTCGGCGCAACAAAAATTGTCCCTACATTTCAAACCCTATTAATGAATTTTTATATTACATATTTGTTATACCTTCTGGCCCTACCCGCCATTTTCATTGTCGAGTAAAGTCTCCATTTTAACAATCCACATCCCCTAGATTCATTTTACGGCACTCTTAAAATATAATTTGCTCCTAATATTCTTCGGTAAAAAATAAAATACTCTTGTACCTCGCTAAATGATCAAATGTTTTTATTGTTCTGTTTCTTAGATGTGACCACGTAATACACAATAAAACTAGTTTTATAATAGTCATATAACGCTGTGTAAAACAGTTGCATAAGAGTGGTATACCCTTTTTATAGAACTTCTATACTACTAAACGGTTGTATAAAAATGGGCCTTTTTTGGTTGTAAAGCTATCATATTACGGCCATATAGCACGTTATATGAATTGAGGTATCCTATCAAAATTATCACATAGCTGTTTATACAGCCTTTATAAAATAAAATTTGCTACTTTACTACTTATTGCTTGCTGCGGTATTTTGAACGTTACGGACAGGGTGGTTGTGTATTATGTGTATTCCTGAGCTGTGTGTGTATTATTTGTCCCAAACTAAAATGGGACATCCTGTACATCTTCAAGATCATTGGCAATTTGGACTAAACCATCAGCGAATCCTAGATATAGTCTGTGAAACGAATAACTTTGAATTTGACAGTTCCCGCGGGCTTTTCTAGTGTAAGTTTTATTAGGTTAGCAACTTGCGGCCATGCTGACGCAATGCCGTCTCTAATAGAACAGCCTCGGAGCGAGATTTATGATGTCCAGGGTTCGGAAGTAGTTAATTAAGACGTAATTTACCTGATTAACTACGTGTAGTTTTTCTTCAAAAACTACGTCTTTTTCCGTTCATTAACTACATGAAAACTACGTTAATAAAATATGTATTGATATTATGAATAATTTTCCTTTGTATGAGGGGTCTGAATATTATGATGTGAATGATTATATTTAAAGCCCTTTTCTTAAATACGTTATGTGTTTTCTAAAGCTTCAACTTATTATAACCTCACCTCAAACCTTTGATATTTGAAAGTTACATACATAGGTTACATAAACTACATTAACGACATGTAATGTAGTTTATGTCGTTTTTAAAAGTAACATGTAGTTTTCCGAACCCTGATGACGTCACGCTAGTTAGATACTACGGATTAATTATGTTGTAGAATACATGGAAAACATAATTATTCCTCGTATATGTAATTTTTTGGATTATATTCGACACTATTTTTTTCATATGACACAACACTGATGAAGGCTATAAACATTAGCTATAACGTTTTTTTTAAACCAAAAAAAATAATGAAAAACCAAATGAAAACTTAATCAGCGTTTTTTCCGAACCTAAATCCCAAGAAAATCAAAAAATTTGAGATTGAAATTGATGAGAGCGATCTTTATATCATAGTCATCGCTGACGCCTTTTTTTCTATGATATTGTATTATTTGCAAATATAATTTTTCGAACATTGATGCTATGTTGAAAATATTTTTTGAAATGATGATGATTAAAATATTTTTTGTGAATGCAAATAATAATATATCACTATTAGTAGATATTGAATGTTTTTTGTTAAATTAGATCGACTTTCAAACCCCAAAATTTAAAATATATTTTACATTTTACGCATTATCTTCTTTTATATTGTATATTCATTATTTGTATAGTATAAAACCTTTGCTGCATTTGTATGGTTCATAGTTTATTTGCTTAAAGGATTTATTACTATAAGTAGGTATATATATATATATATATATATATATATATATATATATATATATATATATATATATATATATATATATATATATATATATATATATATATATATATATATATATATATATATATATATATATATATATATATATATATATATATATATATATATATATATATATATATATATATATTGTATTTATTAACTGTATATTATGTATATTTCATGTAAACTATATCAATTTTAAAATACAAACCAAAAATACGAGGAATAATTATGTTTTCCATGTATTCTACAACATATTTATTAATCCGTGGTATCTAACTAGCGTGACGTCATAAATCTCTCTCCGAGGCTATTCTATTAGAGACGGCATTGGTCTGATATTTAGAAATGTCAAAGGCTGATGACATTTTACTTTTGTCAATTATGACATTTGGCGTTGATTTTTCCAAGAAGAGGAAGAACTGTCACTTGTTTTATTATTTTCCTTTTCTATTTCACGAAAGTAAAAAGAGTTACCTATCTGATTCGTTCAGGTACTCATTTTAAAGAATATCAGTAACTTTTTGGATAGAGGGATTTTATATTTGCCATGTTGGTAAAAAATAACGGTCAAAATTCAAAGTTATTCATTTTATAGACTATAGTTAAGATATTCTTCATCTATTTTCAAATTGTTCGTCCTGTCTAGGTATTAAAAATTCATATACAAGGGTATGATAGAAGAAATGCGATATATGTATTGTATTTTATATATTGAGTTATCAGAAATTGGCATTTATTTATTAATAATGAGTTAACAAATAAGTAATTTATATAATTTAAAGTATAAATCCCTGTATTTAAGTAACAATAATAATTGTAAAATCTAGTTTAATTACTTTTAATTAATATTAATATTATCTGTTTATAAATTACTATTTGCAATGATGCATATTATAAACAATAGTAACGTGTACTATGATGTGTACTTTTCATATTTATTACTTAATAGATAAAAAACTGTGACGAGGCGTAGTCGTACGATTGTTCCAACAATCACACAGATAAAAATTTTATTTATTTACTCATTTTATTTACATATAATGACAAAAATGAGATCACAGGTCAAGACGTTTGGATTTTTGATTAAAAGATGCTAAATTTCAACAATGTGACTAAAGTCTAAAAATGTTTTTGATCTAAGTTCATTTCAAGTTTTTAATGTGAATTTTTATGCAGCTTTTTCAATAAAACTAAAATGTTTAGTCAAATTTAGAGAGTGTTTCAAAATAGACGCGAAAAACTTTACGGGGTTGTTTTTTGTTAAAAAATAAAAACGAGTTTGTTATATAAGGTGTGTCTTAAAAGTGCAAACATTTTAGGGGTGGTTTTTATTTTGATCCCAGAAACACGATTATGAGATTTTTTTGCAAAAAAAAAGTTTTTAGTTTTTAGTTAAAAAACATAATTCGTTAATAACATGGCAACATCGGTAGTAGATTAAATTTACAAAAAAGAAAATCCAGAAAAGATCTAGCTGTTCTCAAAGTTTAAGCAAAAAATCATTTTTTTTTGGAAATTTTTAAAGTAAAATATCCCGGTTATAAAAACAGAAGAGAAAATGTTGTTTCCTTTTATTGAGATCTACCAGCACTGAAAATATTTGCACTTATTTAAGACTCACCCTGTATAGTATTTATGTATCATGGTTATTTTTTATGTCGTGTTTTATTTGTTTCAGAAAAATGCTCATAATAAAATTAAACAGTACCCTGAATTTTTACCGCCCACTACGGCACTGTCTTTTGACGAGGAACGATACAGAACTTATAGACAATCGGCCATAGCTAGAGGCCATCCAGGTGTGTTGTAAGTAAATATATTTTAATAAATTTAATGTTAAAACAAACCAAACAGTGAGGTAAGTAATATTTCTTTTTCAAATTTTCAAAGTAAAATTACTCGGTCATTTTGGACTTATTTGAACAACACTAAAAAGAAAATATTTATATTCTTTCCATCCCTGAAAATATGTGCAGTTACTAAAGACTCACCCTGTATATATTTAATAGAATACTATAAAATATCTATTTGAAAATTTTGAAGATCGTATCTCTACCATTGATAAGTAGGTAAAACTTCAATATTGTCAGTACTGTTTGACCAGCGGATCTGAAGCTACGGAAGGAATGCGAGAAAAAAAAATCGACATTGCCACGTTTATCTATAAAATTGCAAAATTGCCAGACATGAACTATAAATTTAAGATATTTTTATTATATATAATGTGTTTAGCATATATTCTGACGTATATTACTAAGGAATTTTAACGTAGTTCATATTGTTCGATATGTTTCATTTAATAACTTATTTCTTTCATTCTGTATAATCTGCTTATTATGAAAGTTGAAGATTTTTCAACGATATCATTGGCAAACCGGCATCGCCGCACATGGCCGCCTTTTCATCGAACATGATTGGCGAGAGTACGTGACAGGATTTGTTACCACGCGGTTGCCATGGCTTTTACGCCTTTCCTATTCGCTTGCTTTATCCCCAACATCACGGTCTCTTCTGAAAAGAGTAGGAATATTGAATACTATTGAAATATCCAGTGGCGGTGTCATTTTTTTGATCATTATTACTTTATTTCATTATTTTATACCGGTTATCCTAAACTTTATTCCTATATTTTTCGTATATTTGATAGTTAAGTTGTGTTTTATTGTTTTGTTATCTTGTTATAATGTTTTTCGTTCGTAGTTTTTAATTATTAATATCAAGTTTGATCGTATATTTGTGTTTTAAAATGAATAAATTTGTTAAGGGTAAGACGCTACATAGCCAGACAAGAGAAATAATAGCTAATTTATATAAGCAAGTAGAATAATAATAATATAATTAGAATATTAAAATTAAATATTGGCTAAAATAAAAAGCACACATTTTACCTAAATATTTTAGCTAAACTAAAATAAATATAAATAAACGTGGATGAAATCTCATTTGGTGTATTTCCTTGTGTTCATAATAGGGTTTGCGATGAAGAAGCTACAGAGAGTTCGCTTGAGTTGCCGCTTAAACGTAAACTTGAGCGGATATTTCTTTATACCGGAGTTAGCGTATCGGCTATAAAAAAATTCACACAGAAGATAAAAAAAAGGCTGAAAACTAACCCCGATAAAATGATATCCTCTCTGGAAAGAAACGACCACGTGAGACTGCTGTCGAAAAGCTCAACGACTTTTTCGAAGTGGTCAGGAATTTGATAAATAGATTTTATCTCGAATTCAAACTCGTCCCCACAATTAGAAAGCTTTTGCAAAAATTGCAGGAAGAATCGAATTTTCCTTTTGCAGGGAAACGCTTAGGGGGTTATTAAAATCAAATGAATTTTTTTGGCGTAAATGTTAAAATAACAGATAAATATTAATGGAGCGGCCCATTATATTGCAGAGAGAGATATAAATATATATACGCGAAATTCGAAAATATAGCCAAGTATTATCTATTTGGATGTAACATATGGGTAGACAATGACCTAACCTTTAAAAACTGCTGGCGGAGCGATACCATATCTGGTGTAATAGGCAATATTGGATCTACTGGTGAGTAAAATTATGTTTTGTTTGCGCTTCCAAAGTTAACTATTTTTAAGATTTTTTTTTGCTGGAAATAGTTATATCTAAAATTATGTATTATAGAAAAAAATATAGTTAGTACAGCTATATAAATAAATACACCTCAAGACTCAGTCTTGATCATCTGCTGATGGCAGACATGGTTAGCGAAACGAGCGTCCAGTGTAAAATTAAAAGTGTTTTGGTGTATTGTACTGATTTAGTGTTTTATTTTGCTGTGTAAGACCAAAGGTTCCAACCCCCAGCTGTAATTATTTCTTCTATTATATTAACAACACATAATAATAAAATGATTCAAAATATTTAAGGGAGCTTTAATAAAAGCTTTTAGTGTTTATATGCTAACTCAACAGTAACGATTCAAACAGCATAAAGTTTTTTGAAAAAATTATTAATCTGAATATTATATTTATGATACACATTATTTTCATAAAACACCGTACGCCCATGCCTATTTTATGAATGAAATTGGGCGTGTTTTGTTTACAACTGCGTTCCTCTGCCGATACCCCGTAGCTACAGATCCGATGGTCACACTATAATAACTTTTTTGGTTAAATTAAAAAAAAAAATATTTATCAATTTACCAAAAATATGTTAAGAGCTGTTGTTTTTTATCATTTCATTTATATAATTAAGATAATTAAAAAGCATATCCTGCAAGTAATCTGATGGGATCTGGCTTCGGCAGGAGCAAAATTGTTGAACACGAGATAAATGATTATATTTTTATAAATTGTAGGTGCTGGGGTTGTTGAAAGACTATTAAAGCTATTATTTGTAATTATTATTCACATAAGATACAGGGCGTCCCAAATAATTTAGACAGTGTGGTAAAAAGTAACACCTTATAAATTTTATTTAATTTTTTGACCAATGCTTGTTTATAACAACAGAGACGTTCACATGCATAACTTTTTATTGTATTGATATCTGATTTAAATGCACATTTATTTAAAATAATTGATTATAACTAACACAATTAATTAATATGTATATGGACGGAAATAATGGTGGTATATTTAATCGGTAATACTCTTTTACAAAGATTTAAATAGATTCCTTTTTGTTAACAAATGGGCTAGTAATATTATCGGTTTTAGCACCTGTACATTTTGTTTAGGTTATCATTTGTTGCTTTAAAAAAAGATCTAAAAGGTCAATATTCCATGGGTATACAATACTCCGTGACGAGTTATTAAATTAGTTAATATTATTATACAGGGTGTTTCAAAAAACATGTGCCATCTTTCGTGGGGAGATTCCTCACGTAAAAGATTTATTTTTCATATCAATATAGGTCCGATTCTGCTTTGCTTCGTAGCTACACGGTGTTAAAGTCTTGTTATTTTTTCGATTTATTTTAATTATTTCCTTCTAAGTATTTTTAACGTTTCGAATGAAATTTTGATGGTAAAAGTTACTATAAATGCGACATATTTTAAAGCTAAAAAAGTGTCGACATATTCACCAGGAACGTGCATATGGGTTACCAGTAGAATGTTTTTTAAAAAAGCATGTACGCCACTGACTTTTTTCTCTCGTTACCAAAACAGTGTAAGCAGTTTAATGCCAATTAAAAGTTGCCTCTTGACATTTTGTCGATTTCGGCCTCCTTGATGATATAAACGCAATTTTATTAATTTGCCTTGATCCAAGTCTAATAGAAAAAGAACACCCTGTATAATACTAGCTAGCAATAGGTACATAAAGTGTATCATCCATCCTCTGGACCCTGAATTACCCTATATACAGTTCTATTTATAATAAGCATATTGGCAGCTATATCTGTTTAAACAGGAAGTAAAAAATATTGTATAAACAAAATATACCGTGCTGGCAACTGTTACTATTGGGTCGGCATTTACATGTGTGGAAGTAAATCGCATAGGGATCTCATTAAGTCGGAGTGAGAGAAATGCGACCGACGCGACGCGCGACGGTGTGCTGTTGCGGCGTTGCCGATACGCCTTTCCCTATCAAGTAAAGTAAAATCACGATCGCAAACCGCTTATTTTTAAAGGACTTTTTTTCAATAGATTACTAGATAAAATCATTAGACATGTTTCTGAGCATCTGAAATGGAATTATAAGGATATCGTTAGGGTGTCATTTTTTTTTATAACGAGAAAACGTCAGTAATCGCGGTTACTCAACTTTTTAACACATAACAGGCCATAACTCAAGAACCACTTTAGATATTGAAACTTTTTTTTATTTTCAAGATCGGATATTTTACAATATGTTTACATAAGAAAAATTCGATAAGGTTGTCTTTTCCATTTAAAAATTGTAAACAATCCATCCGTTTACTTTTAGAGCATAGCAATTTTCAGCAATCGTGTAATTTTTTTATTGATAAAGATTTCACATACTGTCTACAAAGAAAATACAGCAGAAATATTAACAAAGTTCTTGAAAAAACTACAATCTATTATTTCTAATAGGTTTCGAGATATCGATTTTTGAATTCAGAGTTCTAATAGCGCGACCACTATCGAACACCCACTCAATTCCACTTATTTTTACCAAAAATGCAAGTGTTTCTAGCTTGCACTTAAAAAAAATCAAGCTATAGGGAAAATTACAACGACTCGTTAATAAATAAACAAATCAAGTATCACGAGACGTAATTAAATCGTGAAGCTGAACGCATGACCTACACCTTTCCTTAGAACTTTAAGTACTGATAGAGGTACTGATTGGGTCAACTGGTCAACTGCGACAAATCTGCTATATCCCCTTCCACGTCTCTTAGCGATGGGCACAGTTTCTCGGTTTATTTCATACGTTTGGCAACGTGTTTACTGTCCTCTCTTTGTTCAGTACATTATAAACGCATTGTACTCTTCTTACATACGGAAATCTCGACCCAAGACTAACCTTTGCCAGCCCTTAGTATACCTACTTTAAAATATCCATAGTCTCCTAAATTATTCAGATCTTTATCTAAACTAAATCCAGATTTACAGAAGGGATTGTGACAAGATCCCCGAATAGATACATAACTCGCAACAAAAACAACCGATATATCATCCACATATCTTACCCATCTCTGGCGAATAATAATTGAAACATTTTTTGCGCCCTGCGACCTGCTTACGAATAGTTGAACCAGAAAATGGAGATAATGGATTATATCCAGATTGCCGCCTGGCCCTTTCTGCTGTTCAAAGGGACTGTTATTAAACTGAAAACAATTTTGCTTCAGACGCAGCTATGTAACTT